CTTTCTTGTCCTGCTGCAGAGATATCTCTCTGTCAGAACAGCTCTGGTAATATGCCATTTTATCAACAGACTTTGGCTTTTAAAGAGGTTTTCTTGGCATCTGACCAGTTTGAGAATCCACAGATTTTAACCTGATGGAGGTTTTGCAGCACTTTCCCAGAACATCTTTTCAAGGAACTGTCCTACACTGACTTGTAGGAAAGGCATGCAGGGATGGACAAACCTCTTTTTTCCAAGAATGTGACATTTCCAGATTTCTGTGTGTCACAGTCATGGGTCGTGTCAAAACAGAAAAAATATCCATTAGGGTTTCCTGAGACGTGGAAGTAAAATAAAAGGATAGATTCCAGGTGTATCTGATTTTTTCAGAGAAAAGTTTCCACTGAGTTTAACCAAAGCAGGCCACTTCAAATCTCATCCAAATCATACTGAGCAGCTCTGCTGCTAGGCACTCGAATTACCGTAGGAAGACAGGACTGGAAGGTCCTCTTAGGTCACCAAGTCAAGCCCTCTGCTAACATGGGTTGTTTCCTTCACAAACTAATCAAGCTCCATTTCACACACTGCTGGTTTGGGGCTAGTCAGTCTTGCTGGAAAGTCCTCCTAAACAACCTCACTGTGCTGATAGCCAGAAGCCTCCTTTCCAAACCCAGCCTAAAGGTACCTACAGTGATTTATACTCCTTTGTTTTGGGACAAGCAACACTCTGTAATGGAAATTGTTCTCCTCCTGTGCTTAGCTCTTCATCCCCCTTATCAACTTCGTATTCCCATACTGTGCTTTTCGTAGTAGTACTTAATCTTTCTTGAGCATCAGTCATTAATGGGGTGTATTGCATATCCAATATTGCAGCTTGCTGTGCAATGGCATTCGTATCCTCCTTTGTCCTCTGTAATTACCTTTCCTGATATGTATTAGAATCTCATTTACCCTTTTAATGGGTGCAGTTTATTGGTACAGTGGTACATAGGTACATCGGTACATCCCACTGGCTTAGTCGGCCAGAGTGGTATGTACATGAGGATATCTACAGCCGAGTTTGCCTCCCAAGACTTCAGGGACAGAAATAGGTATTTTTAGGGGCTATTTAATGTGATGTATTTTAGATGTCTTTTATGAATTTAGAATCTTTTATGAAAAGATATTTTATGAATTCACAGACTCCATTAACCAGACCTGACTACAAAGGCATCTCCATGCAATTATCTCAGATGTAGATGTCCACAGTGACTGTTACCTATACTTTTATCATCCTCTCAAACATTTTCTGTTGGTAAGCTACTTGGTCATAAGATAAATTCTTAAATGTGGCTGAGTGTATGACCTTACACTTTCATAATTCCATGCATCACACATTAATTGAATGATAATGGTTATGCAATTCTTCCTACAGGATAGCCTGATACCCTAGAAATTGGTGGTTCTCTCTACCTTTGTGTTCTCAGAAAATGTTATTAATATTTTCCTGAGTGAATGGCATTTCCATTGACAGTAGACAAAAAAAAAAACTCAACCCCAAAACCTAGGACTGATCCTAGAAGAGCATTTCCAGCCTTATATTTCACCTTTTAGGAATACTCTGAAGATGTCACTTCCCTAAGTACAGACATTCATTATAGATATACTTCCCTGATTACATCTTGGCATGTTTGTGACTCCAGGAAGAGAAAATCCACCATGGAAATGTAGCAGTGAATTACCAGCTTGTGGTGGATTGGGGAACGGTGGTGGATGTGCTGTGGAAGTATTAGGGGATGTACGTAAATCAGGCAGAGGTGGGACAACAGCAGTGCAGAAACGCAGCCCTGAGAGGGAGTTAATGCATTGCGGCTGTTAGCTTGGGTTAACACCAACTGATGCTTTTTGGGTGCTGTCTGTGTCATACACAGCTGAATCAGAGCATGAACAAGAAAGAGTGTATTCCTGCCCTGCATCGAGCTGCCCTTCACTTGGTGGCATTTCAGGAGAGTCTGGTAGAAAACAGGTTTCATTCATGAGATCGGCAGAAGAATAAAAGGCTGTCTTGGCCAGTGTACATCATGTACACACAATGAGGTTGGAAGGTTGTTCCACCTGTGATTGAAGTGTCAGTTTTATTCATGCACGTAGTTAGCACCCATTACACACAATTGTCCCCTGAGAAGTGGCTGATGTCACACGCGACTCTCACATCGGCTGACCCGCCAGAGTAGGGGGCAACACGGACTGCCTCATTACCTAAATTCCCCTACATCTTCTTAATAATTCCTGTCTCAGTGATTTTCCTTATTAACCTCAGTAACATAAACATACACAGGAAATACATTAAGCCCTTTATAAAACTTACCAGTAAACATAATTATTCAGTTAGCAATTTCAGAAGCTCTTTCTTACAAATGAGGGAGAAACCATTTTATTATCTGTCCGGTTTAGCTTTACCTTCCAAAACAACTTCGATGACTGTAAAAATGCCATCTGACAATAGTAACACAGTCTTATTGTGCAAAAGGCAGTCACACAGCACATAGTTTTCCAACTATGTTGTAAATTTTACTCCTTTGGAAATTGCTCAAGTATCAGCTGACCAGCAGTAAACATAGTTTCATGTGGCACTGCACTCGTCCAAGATATTTTCAAGATATATAAATACAAACCAAAGAGTTAAGATTTACTGTAAGTCCTTTCACCAGCTGGACTGCTCTATAACATGAAGTTGCCCAGGGCACTTACTAACTTTCCTGGCTTTTCTTCCACCATTCCTTTGAATTTCTGTTAGTGAGACGCAGTAAGATCTGCAAACAGAATCACAGAGCATACCGCAGAATTGCTGTGGTTGTAACTCTTCCAACACCACTTTGCAGCCTTTACTTTACAGTAGTTAAAGAGCAAGTCTGATCTGTAATGCTTAGCCTTGTAGTTGGGAAAGTGACCACAGACACTATCATAAGTACCGGCAGAAGTGATTGGTAGATAAAATTATTTAATCTAGATGGGTGTGCACATCTGCTACACCGGGAAAAACGCTGTAGGATTCCCCCATGCCTTCAGAGACTAAGAAATCATTCACAGTCCAAATGCATACAACCTCAGGATAATATTTTTCTTAGCAGAACTGACTCTTGAAACTCAGAGAAGGAAAAAGGGTCTCAGCAAGTTAAAAGAGAAACTGCTGGCACAGATCACAATGGAGTTACAGGTAAAAGACTTAGCACTGGTCTTCTTATTTTAAAGGGCTTGTGGTGTTTTTCGGCTACTAGAATTTTTGGGTCTGATAATGTTCAGCAAATATTTAAGTTTGTGAATTCAATCCACTCTCACTGAAGAAAGTAAGAATTTTGCTGATGCCAGAGGAATAAGATGACCTTCTCTCTACCTGCTACTCAACATAATGAAATCTCTGTGTAACGCAGTTGACACTGGATGAGTCTCATGATTCAGAATCTGTTGTTTTTTTCACACTTATGAATAATTTTATTTTTTTTCCTTTTTATTTTTTTGGAGTGATCTACAGACAATAATAATTCCTAATTACCAGTCATTGCCGCATGCTTACAGAACTGTTGGATGAAAAGGATAAAGCTAGCATTTTTGCTTTCAGTTGACCAGTAACTTCAGCATACTCATGCTGACAGAGTTTTTCAATATCTGGTTTTACATCTAGGACAGTCTTTCTTGAGCACTGAAGGTTAAATATATGCAGATAATGTTAGTGCAATCTCTGCTGAATCAGATTTTATATTTAACAGAACTTATGCACACTAGTGCATGTTAGTATCTAAGGGTATCAGGTGTTGCAAATGCACATCTTTCAATAATCCATGAATATTTCAAATGTTAACATTTTCCCCAGAATTTAACACATATTATTTTCAGGTTTCACCATCATACACAGAATCCATTGCTTAACGGCAGGGGGAGATTAACTTTCTGGGTTTCAGACTAAATTCTCCCAAAAGATATACAGAAAGTAATAATTTGCCTCAACTCCTCTAATCACATTTAGTTCCAAGAAAGATCTATAGAAATGGAAAGTTAGGGAAAAAAAACCATAAGTAATCTGCCACTTTCTGAGTAATTATAATTTAATCTTTTGACTTTTATATAAAACTCTATAAAACATCATTTTATCTTGCAATCAACATATTCAATGCAAAACTAAATGTTAAAATAGAAAATAACTTAAACAAACCAATATCTGCTCTGTTTTTCTACAAGCTCCTTCAAGAACCTTTCTAGTCCAGCAGCTGAAAACCAAAACATTGGGTACTTAAAAGCAAAACAACCACTAAAAGCAATCGGTAGCAAAACCCAACATTTTTTAGAGCAGCATCTACTATTAAACAACTCACTACATAAACAGTAAGCCCATTAGAGCCCAATGTCAAAGATGCTCTGTAAGCTGAACACGCGAAACATTTCCACAATGACTGCAAGCCAGCAAAGCGCTCCATAAGATGTCAACAGGGAAATACAATTCAGTCTTAATAGGTTCAGAGCTTATGTAAGCCATGCTTATGGGATAGTCTATTAAAAAAGCAAGCGAGCAAGTGACATTACTGTAAACACAACCTGCAGCTTCCTAGAACATGCAGGCTAAAGACATTTGAAACTCCACTCAAAGACACTGTGCTAACTTTAAGGCTCTGGACCAAAAACGAAGGGAAATAAAAATATCTCCCAATACAGCAATAGCTGAGGTGATATTCACTCCTGTATAGAAAAGAGATATGGAATCCCTTCAGCTCCATGAACAGCTTAAGAAATAATTATAAACAGCCCATGTGTCTTTCTTCTAGTAAAACATTATCTGTTCTGCAAAAATCAGTAAGCCTTCATTGCTAATTAGTAACACAATGCTTGCAATTTTGTATTTGGGATATGAATGAATTTCTCTGGGTGACAACTTGGTTCATTGAATTAAAGACATGGATCAATGTGAGATATGCCATTTCTTGATAAAAAAATGGTACATTTGCACACACACACCAGGAAAGGAAGAAAAGAACATCTTGCGAACTCACCACCAGATTTCCTATCACCATGACCAACAAGAAGACGAGAAGGCACAATGGCTGCCCAGCTACTTCCATGCAGTCCCACATGGTCTCAATCCACTCCCCACACAAAATTCGGAAGATGATGAGGAATGAGTGAAAGAAATCATTCATGTGCCAGCGTGGCAAATTGCCGGTTGTGCTTATCTTCTTCACATTGTCCATGTAGCTTTTCCCAAAAAGCTGCATTCCTACCACAGCAAAAATAAAGACGATGATTGCCAGCACAAGAGTGAGGTTACCGAGGGCACCCACTGAATTACCAATGATTTTAATGAGCGTATTTAAGGTTGGCCAGGACTTCGCCAATTTGAAGACTCGCAGCTGTGAACAAAACATAAACAAGTGTCAGTTCACAGAAGCAACAGACATTTCAACTGATGAATTATTAAAGCGGGTAAAACGTGAAAGACGTTAAATGCCACAGTGTGTGCAGTACAAGGTGATTTTAGCCGTACTTCCTGTTAACCTCACTACATCTATTAATAAAATATCAGCTGGGCTTCTTGGATGAGAATTAAGTTTTCCAGAGCTATGCTCTGCCTTGTTAGATAGACGTACTTTTAGAGGCTTATTCCCCCGATATCATGGTGGGGAAAGGATGGAAGGAGAAAATCTCAGGTCTTAATATTTTCTTCTACATTGCTTTTCCTCCTCAAATTAAGCAGCCTGGCAGGCATCTGGGGGAAGGGGTTTAGGGTTTTATCCCACAAAAAGAGAAACAATTCCTCTGTGTTTCGGAGCAAGCCTCAGCCAGATGCTATTAGCTGTTAGCTCCCAGGGTGAAAATCACCTCTGTGCTGAGGATCACGCAGTCTATGCACAACCCACGTCCCACTTAAGACCTATTTTAAGGATGTAAATGGCGCCTAGCCCTGGTGCTATGTTTTCAGCTGAAGGTTTAATTTCAGCCCTAATGAAGAGAGATTACTCAAAAACTGACAGGATACCTTCAGGATCTAACAGCAGCAGTGAAAAATTTGCTTTTTTTGATCAGTATAAAGAATTTTGGGATAAAAAAAGTCTTCTGCTAAATGTAATCATAAGGGCTCATTTTCCTGGTCTTTCCAAGTTGTGAAGCCACATCATGGCCAGAATGATTAGCATGGGCATCCTGGTACATGAAGTGCAACACAAATGTCAGGCTGGCAAGGAAACTGCTTTTCTGTTCCAATATGTCGACAGTCTCTCATTAATAGAATACCACTATCCCGTGCATAACAAAAGAGCTGACAGCTAAGGAGTTCCCGCGAAAGACAGATGCTATGTTATGCTGATCAGTTCTAGAGAAAAAAATCATTCCGTGAATAATTCAAAGACATTTTGTTTTGACAACATTTAAAAGAACAGTGGCATGTTTATAACATAATTTAGGAATAACAACTTCTAAAACAACAAGTTACTGGCTCTTGCATTTCTTGGGCTATCAATTATCTGCTGACTATGCTAACAGGTGCACAGGTATAAAATGGCAGATTTTTTTTTTACAAATTGGAACTCAAACATTTTCAGTGTGCTACAAGTACCTGGAACAGCTAGAAGGAATAAAATTGTTCTCATTTACGCCGATGTAAATCTGGAACAATTTCATTTATCTCTCAGCCTATAATTAGTGTCATGTACTGTTCACCAGTTTGCAGCAATTAAAGTCTTTATCAGCAGATGTGTTTTTAAGAAAGTATGCTGCATTCATATCAGAGTTTATGTGTAATAAAAGAAGAGGGGTAAGAACAGAATAAGACTGTTACCAGTCGAAAGGAGCGCAAAACAGACAGGTTTCCCATGCTGGACAAACCCAGTTCCATCAGGCTTAGAATAACAATTATGCTGTCAAAAATATTCCAGCCCTGCTGAAAATAGTAGTAGGGGTCAAGGGCAATTACTTTGAAGATCATTTCTGCTGTAAAAATCCCAGTGAAGACCTGCAGAAAGAAAATACGAAGTCAAAGCAACCTTTTAAGCACACCTCCTTGCTTGCAGACTTTCCACTGATACAGGGGAACACAGCAGAAAGCCAAAAACAATTGACAAGCAAATACTTTATTTTTCATGGCTGATTCTTCATCACTATTACAACTTTGCCTAGTCTTTTCACAATAATATTTGCTATTGCTGTAAACCTGCAATGACCTCTGGGTTCAAGCTCTGGATTGGAACATACATTTCCATCTCCTCCTGTCATCTGAATAATCCCAGTGATAAAAAGAAAGTGTAAAGGTGCCTTTTATAAAGGTTAAACCTATTCATTTCAGTGAAGAAACTCAAATGAACAGAGTGTGAGTGTTAAGGAGTATTTGGGTTGTAGTATACCTGCTGTATTATCCCTTTTTATTTTGTTATTATTATCAATACCAGGGCAATGCAAGCCCCCAGTTATTCTGAGGTTATTGCTGGCAGTGAAAGCGATTAGAAACTCTAATTTGAGTCTTAGTCTTTTTTTTACAAATAGTCATAACAATTTTCTTTTCACAGCATCTTGGAAACACATTGCTTATTTATGACCCAGTTCAAATGTCATATTGTGAAACTTCTAATTGGAACATTTTTCTTTAAAACAACATATAAATATTACCTATTAGGCAGAGGGAGAGGGGAAGGAAAGGCTGCTGACAGCAAAATCAGTTTTAACACATTCCTGCAAAGTATCTTAGAGAATCAGATCTTGCCCCCCTTAAGTAACAGTTTAAATGCACAACACAAGGCTACAGAACTTAAAATCACAAAATGTGGAGACCATGTTCTTCATATACTGTTTTATTTTCATTCCAGGTCTCAGTACAAGCTGCACAGAGCTTTATGTTTCTGAAAAATTCTGTGTTGTACATATATATTAAAGCACATGGTTTTCCATGAAACAATCATCATTAGCGCACTATACTGGTCAAAAAAGAGAAGGGAATACAGAGATCACATATCAGTAACATACAGTCAAGAAGAAATGTTTTCCTCCCTATAAGCGGAATTTTTGCAGCATTATCCCAGCAAAACTGATCAACTCTGCACAACAGAGATGAGAAACTCATTAAGATGTGGAAGGGAAAAGTTAAGATTATATAATTATGATATTAAGGAATAAAAATAAATGATCATAGCCCGCATGGCTTTACTCGGTGTAATGCTTCAGGAATTAATTTTACACAATTCCTCATGTAAAATATCTTCTCTTTCTCATCAGTAAAATAATACCTTGGACTGCAGCAATACCTTGGGATGCAGCAACATCCCATCACCGTCTCATACCAAGAACCCAACACAATGACCTGTCTCATATTTCCAAATAGCCAACAATTTCTGAGTCACGGTGGTCAGAGATACCAAAGATTCCCACCAGAATGCTCCAATTTCCCTTAGGACAATGAACAAGACAAAACTGGATGTCTGTGAAATTGTATCCAGGAGACTGCCTTAAAAACCACGATATCACGCTGCGTACATTATGCAACCATCTTGCTGAGAAATTACTCAGGAGGATCACTTTCTTTGCCTGAATCATTTTAATCAATAGCCTTCTGAGAAGGAAATGTCACAGTAAGATAGCAAAATGTCTGAGTCTTCCTAAAGGCATCAGCAATCATGAATGTATACCAGCTACAAATTTCAAATGGCAGTTGTCAAATCGCCAGCACCTGGTACACGGTGACTGCACTTGTACAAGAGGCTGGATATTTAATATGATAAAGGCTGGAAAGAAAACAAGTAACATCTCACTGGTGCTAAACATGGCACTGCTGATTTGGAGAGCTTTGGCTTAAAAAAAGTCTTTTATCTATCATTTCAATCATTTAGGCTGTAATATCGCATAATGGTATCTCAGTTTCTAAAGGAAAACTCAAATTGGGGGAATTTGCCCTATTTACCCATTTTTTAAGTGGTGGCACTGCATAGGCAGATGCACCATGTAAAGATGTACACGTGCTTGGCTGACCTTCTGATCATATTTGAAAATGTTGATTCCTGTACATGCTGAACTAAAGGAATCTGAAGGTAGCAGGTGCTGTGTGAAGTAGAGGGACAATCAAAGCCGGAGATCTCCAATGACGGGCAGCAGATGAAGAATTGCTCTCAGACAAAAAATACCCATATTCCACTTTCATTCTTTCATTTCTCTCAGAAACATTTGAGGACGAAATGCCAAATATCTGCCATTTTTAATATTTCCCCCCATTTAATGCTAGCATAACCACTCAAAGAGGGTTAGATGCAATGGGAAGACAATTGTAAGCTAGCGTGGAAGCAGAGGAGGGGTCTGGCAGTCTACAGCTTAGGGGATGCAGTCACCTGGCAGCCTGCCCTGGAGATGGGACTCCCTTCCCTTTCACAGGGAATTGCAAAAAATGTCAGTTTTTATCACAAATGACTTTGCAAAATCCTGCATAAAATGGAGTTACCTTCCTCTGACCTGCTCTACTCACAATCAATCCAGTTATGCAGGGGTTTAGTAAAGCAGGCGAGGGGGAGCTGGGGCCGTCTGGCCTCTCACAGACCCATCCTGGGATCTCAGGGGAAAGGGAGCCCCATGCCATCAGCCTGCTATAAAAACTATTAGCAAGCTGTTTTACTTATTTTACACTTTAGCACAAAGAGCAGAAATAGCTCTAGGCAGAGCTGAGAAACTCACAGTGAGATTTTTTTTGTTGGGTTTTTTTTGTGGTTTTTTTTTTTTTAGAATTTGCTTTGCAATTCCTCCTTCTGCTCATTGTCTCTATTTCCTTGTTGTCACCAGGCGCAGTCCAGCTCAGCCCCAGCAGGTCTGCAGGAGCCGTGTTGGCAGGAGGGATGCCAGGGGCTAAAGTTTCACTGCCTGTGGTCTGCAAAGGGAGAAACTGATCTGCCAAAAGCAGAGCAAGCAGCAGACACATTTACTATCCCAAGTGCCAGAGGGGAAAATGGCAGCATTGCCACCTGCTCTGATGGATACTGGGTCTGAAGAAGTTTTTTTAAGTCATCTTAGAAGGCCACGAATTGTTGAGCAACAAGTATGGCTGGCTGCAAAGTGGAGCTGGATGCAGTCCTGTGAGATGACTTTCTGAGCTACTCTTATCTACTGCTTTCTGCAGACGGTAAGAGCACAAGTTTGAAGCAAGAGAGACCCAAACAGATTTTTGCTTAGCGCAGCAACAGAGGGAGATTTGTCAAGACACAGCAGCTGAAAAACTGGAGACTGGTCCCACATACTGGGAGAAGAACCTTGACCTGCCCAAGCTGGCCCAGAGCTAAGAATAACAAGGATCAGAGTAAAGAAAAAAATCCATATGTGATGTACCATATATGCTAGGACTGATACAAAAAGTCTGATTATTGCTACTACCCACCTAAGTCTGCCAGTGTAGGACGCTTCTCACTAAAAGCAGACTTTACATCTGTAGTGTCTCTGCATACGCCCACTATAGTCAATAGTCACTACAGTCACTGGCCTCCAGGACATAGTTCACCTTACTCAAAAGTAAAAGTCTTTAAAACATCACATTAATTGTGCCTTAAAATTGTCCATTACTCTATGTTGTCTTTAAAGGGAGACAAAGGCAAACAGCTCAGACAGAGACCCCTACACTGTAAATACCTAAAGTTGGGCAAGATGAAACCCACTTTGAGATACTGCAACCTTCGTTTTTATAGAAACAAAAGGCTTTTTTTATCTCCTCTGTGAGCTTGTCAAATACAAACTTAGCAGCATCCACGTTCCAGGGTACTCCAGACTTACTTATGGTCCTACAGGATATCTCTGCTTCTGCCACTAGATTTTAGGGGGAATTCTACCATGCCATAGCTACATAGCCTGTGCCTTTTCCAATACAGACTCTTCTAAAATTAAAAGGCTTTAAAACTTAATGTTTCAAAGCAGTAAAACACAGTAACTTTTAAACATACACTCAGAGAAAGATGATTAAAGAAAAAGCTTCCGTTTTGTAGTAACTGCAGAATTTCAGTGGCCCCCTGGGTTAACAAATTGTACCAAATCGCCTCTGGAAAGGCTTTTCTGCTGTCCCTGCAGCTTGGCTGTAGATCTGTCACTCTGCTTTTCCTTGGAGAAGTGCAGTCTCTGCTTACTTTGCAGCTCCATCCCCAGCTGCTCCAGCTTGCACATTAAGAGTTTCCCCTCGAAGCATCAGCCATGCTTTGCTCCGTGTCCCCTCTGCCCCGGGGTTTGCACGGCACCCAGCACATTCTGCTGCACAAGGCAGGGAGGCACAGCGGGACTTACAGGGACATACAGAAAATGTACCGTAAGCGCCTCCCTGCATATCTATCTACTTATAGACAAATACCACTCTATTTCCCTTAAAGATCTTGCCTTGTTTTTTTTCTGTAGTTTTTTTTAAACTTAAAATTACTATTAGTCACCAAGAACTGCTGCCTTGTCACTGCTTTACCAGAAATCTCAAATAAACCTCATTAATCCTTCTCTCATCTTCTTTCCTTAAACAGACACAAACTAGATCCACAACAGCCCAGAAACATGGCTTTAATGGTTACTAATAACATTAGAATATGTTAGTTTAATAAAAATAGGCCCTTGTCCTTCATTCCTTTCTCTCCGCCCCCAGAAAGAGATGACTATGTGGACTTGCTTGACAAGTCACAGGCAAAGCGATGCTGACAGCATATCAAAACAGGGTCTTCCCAAGCTGCAGCCAAAATTTTAAAAAGCAGGAAATACACTCCTCAGGTAGCACTTCAAGTTTGCGTTCACTTACCAAATTGCCTATGTAAAGCATGTGGTCAAACTCCTTCGTCATCTTATAATGCTCCAAGGCCATGAAGAGCGTGTTCAGCACAATGCAAAGGGTGATAGTGAGGTCGGTGAATGGGTCCATTACCACGAACTTGACAAATTTCTTGATTAAAAGCCAAAGCGGGCAGCAATCCCAAATGAGAAATTTAACAGCAAAGTGGTTCCAGCAGGGAGGACATTTCTGTTGTGATTCCTCAAGCTCTAAGTCACAAGCAGTAAAAGAACAGTCAATTCACACTGAGTTATATTACAAGAGAACACTTAAAATGACTCATAACATAGAGGAAGGCACCCGAATTACCCCAAACTTTTTTTAGGACAAAAATATTTCTGTCTTAACAGCCTGGCAAATTACACACTTCACGGTTTTTGCCAGTTGACCTGCACTTAGCAGCAGTGACCTATTCTGCAAGTAATAACCTTTTAAAAGTGTCACAAGTAAAAAGGGAGATTCACGCTAAATATGTAAAGTCCAGTATTATATATAGGCTTAGATTTTTACTCTGTTTTCCATTTTGGCAAATTCAAATGGATAAGAATACACTATCTTCATTTAACTTAGACTGGAATATTTTTTTTTGATTCCCAGGTCACATTTTAGAAGTATCTTAAGTAATACCCTTTAAAGCAGTTAAGAGATGAAAGAACTAAAATCCAATATTTAGAGCTGATTTAAGCACTTGAGAGCTAGAGTATCACTGGTTATCAATAGGGTTTCTGTTCTTCATGTGCAATCCAAAAAGGCATTAAGCGTCTGATGTCTTCTGAAAGGCCCACATACAAAATCAGGGGAGTGCATAAGTCAGTTTGAAAATGCTACTGAAGCTCCAGTGTGCTTTTTAAATGTGCTTTTAAAATATTATCTAAAATACAACTTTTATATGCTCATTTTACTTGAGCACAAAAGAATTGAAATAGCTTCATAAGTATAATTTGCGTTAAATGGTGAAAAAGAAAAGCCAAAAAAGACAGTTAATGGCTGAATGATAATGATTAGGAGAATTGCTTAATGCTTTCCTTTTCTGAGTCCTTTATGGGCATGGAATGCTGTATAATGGTTTTAGTCTGTATAATTAGAACCTGCACTGATAACAGGAAAACTTCAGCCAAGGCTGTTATTTCAATCAGTTTATAAACAGCCTCCTCCCTCTAGTCAGGATGCATTCTCTGTGCATTTTTCTTCATTGGACAACAGAAGTGTGGTATTAGGTGTCTTCTAGCAAGCTTTCAAAGTATCAGATGACGTCCTACATGCACAGGTTTTGCACAAACATCTACACTGCTCCAAAATCTCTGGGAAACCAAATTGCTCCCAAGAAATAACTATGTCTTTCCAGCCTCCAAACAGAAGCTTTACGGGTAAGTGCCTGAAATGATGTGAGAACCATCCATACCCCAAACAATTTCAACACAAAATCCTAATTTTGCATTTTTTTTGGAAACTGGCCTCTGAAAGTAATAGAGTTTAGGGCAGACACTTCCAAAAGTATCTAATTTTCCAGGTAAATCCAGAACACATCTATCTATATCCATACTCCTCATAATCACTTCTAATCAAGCCTGCTTATTCCACTATTATTAATTTAGGGACATTCATTATGGACACACAACAGATGAGTGACTCTTTTCGCTGAGGCTCCACACTCAACACAAGCCCCTTTAAGTCCAGGTTGCTGCTAAAAGGGGTAGTTTCATCCCTCTCGGGCTCAGTCACATGTTATTTCTCTGTCCTTTTGCCAGATTTTGTGCTCCTGGACCTTCTGGGTGAGCTGGTTCTGCTTGTTGATCCAGTTGAAAACCAATTGTTTGTACAGTCAAACCAAACTGCAGGAATACAGCAAGGGAAGGAGGAAGATGTGACTGTCCTCTTTTGGCAGCGATGCCACATTAAAATGGTTCAAATTAATTAAGAACCACACCCTTCCCCACCACAGGTGATCTTTGGAAACCACAACAGATTTAATAGTTTTTGAAAAATATCTGCAAAAGGAAGAGGAAAATTAGATTGTAAAAATCTAATTTTTTTAGATTTGCAAGGAGGAGTCCATGGGTGAGACAGTGATTATATTGCTTTTGGCAGTGATGCCACATTAAAATGGTTCAAATCAATTAAGAAACCATACCCTTCCCCACCACAGGTGATCTTTGGAAACCACAACAGATTTAATAGTTTTTGAAAAATATCTGCAAAAGGAAGAGGAAAATTAGATTGTAAAAATCTAATTTTTTTAGATTTGCAAGGAGGAGTCCATGGGTGAGACAGTGATTATATTGCCTTCTGTTAGAGCATTGCCTCTGTTATAGAGGTTGGAATTAGTAAAAAGTAAAATTAGATTCAACTGCTTTTTTTCTGCTACTTTATATTTTAAAAAATAATGGTCAGAAATACACAGTCAAAGTTTGTGTTGGAGGTATTTTTCCTCTTACTTCTAAATGAAAAAACCCTAGGTCCTTCCTTGTCTCCAAGACTTTGCAATGTCTGGGAAAAACAGGCAGATGATGACTACCCAAGAACCTAGAGCAGAAACCAGGTAACTAAAGGGGAAGGGATTTCTGGTCTGGCTGGTTCAGACAGTTTGGCACAAATCATACAGCTATTATTATACTTAAAGCCTGTGACACATTTTATTCTGATTTGATATTCCTCTTGTTGTTAACAAGTATTCAACTTCAATGACTAATCAAAGTCTGGGAGTTAGGAAACCTTTGATAAGGATTGAAACAATTTTCTTCTAGATGAAGCTAAAAATGTACAGCCTCTGAGTTACCCTAGACTTGATGGTTTCTATTTCTGTGGTAAAAAGTAATAGAAAGTACCATTAAATAAATAAGCAGAAGTCCAGCTCAGGCCTTTTAAGCCTTCTTAAGACATTACAAAGAAGCAAATCAATCATACAGCTAATTGTGAAACCTCAGAGAAAACAAATAAAAACTTTGCAGACTACACTAAACACAGGAATCTATTGAAGTGATTATTTACCTATTAAGAATACCACTCTTTATTTATTTAAACATATCTCTCTCTCTCTGTTCTGGTCATAGTACTGCTGAATACAATCACAGGGAATGGTTAAAAGCTGAGAAAGAAGTGCTCTGTGGTTTCATGTTGGGCTGTCTCCAAAGAGCTAGGTCCAGTCCTTCTCTGTAAGGCATCTCCCAGATAAGTCCCTCTGTCTTGCCTTGCCTTCCTATTCATCAGTAACACAGAGAATAAGGCTGCAGGAGAATCGAAAATTTCCTTTGCTCTGCATTGTGTTCTTGACAGAGATTTTTCTATACTCTTGGTTGCTACCTCCTATCTTGTCTCAGTTTAAAATGTAGGAGACACAAGGAACTGTAAGAAGCCCCTCTGTGCTGCATGGAAAGAGCCTCGAAATGTGACGTCTTGCCATGAGTTGTTGTCTTGCTATCAATAAATCTATGAAAGGGAAATGACATTTCCTGTGTATGGACAGACAGGGAAGGGAAATCCTCCTGCACCTAACGAGAAGCCTAATAAGCAATGGAAAAATTTGCTGAGAAATATTTGCATGGACAAATGGGTCCTTTGAGCATCCTTAAATTTCATGGTGGGATTCAAATACCCACCAAACTGTTGTGTCCCACCAGCTGCTCTGCAGGAAGGAGACTTTCTTCCCCCACAACTTGGAAGTTCTGCACATAGCTGGTCACTGCACATGCCAGGCTTTGCATCAGCTCCAGAGAGATGAGATATAAATGTTATGTACAGTCATCCAAAGAGTCTGGTGCTCCACTACCCTGCATCTTGGTTAGTCCTGTGTAAATCAAATACCGTGGGGGCACAAAATCTTACCAGATCCAATTTTGATTATATGGCCAGCATTTTGCCAGGATTTTTACAAGTTCACAGGTAAGATAGTGATTATATTGCCTTCTGTTACAGCATTGCCCCTGTTATAAGAGTTGCAATGACTATCTATAACGCCTTCTTGCAAAACAAGAGTTTAATATTAGGGTCTTTTGTGTTACTTTGTTCCTGTCAATCAACATTCATACGGCTTTGCATCAGGGAACTAAAGACGTATTTTACCTTCCAGGGCACTGGTGATGATGCTGACAGCGCTCACTGCCCTCTGCCTCTGAAAGGGTTCGTCCGAGTGGTCCACCGATGGGCGGTGGGGCATTAAAAGCTGCTTCTTGCTTGCCTCATCTGAGGGAGAGGTCTGTTTAAATAAAAAAATGGGATCAGCAGAATAAAAACAAGGCAGATATCGGGTAGCATTTCCAAAATTGCCTAAGCACTATTTTTCCCATCTGAAAAGTCCAAAGCTCACTGATTTCCCAATTAGACACACGCTGATTGGGTACTGCTTTTGAAAACGGCACTTCGAGCAATTTTGGAAACTTTGCCCTGCCATTTACTTTCATGTAAACAGGTGAAAGAGGCAGGTGAAAATAAAGGGATGCTTCTGGAGTTGGAGAAACAGCAGTGCTACTTTACCACGCTCTTTCCTCGTGAAAGAAGCCTAGCTTAATTGCATTAATTATTCCATTATTTCTGAAATGTGTTAACTGTTTAATTATACTGCTAGAAGATGAAAAGGGGCGTGGATAACAGCTCCGTTACAGGCCTCCGATATCATACCAAGCAAACTGACTCCTCAACACATGTTTTCACTCGTTCTGAAACACTGCCAAATCTCAGGAACATACTGTGATTCTGATGATCTTTGGTGTCACGGATTTCTGAAGCTCTGTAATTAGAGAGAATCTCAGCTTCTTTTTTCTTGGGGAAAAAAAATAATAATCCAAACTCTATAGTTCTCATGTTTCTCAAGGAAAAGCTTAAAAAAAAAAAACACCAAAGCAATCAAACACCAGAAAACAGAACTCCCAAACTGTCTTTATTTGATATTTCATTTTAAATTAGTTTATGGTTTCTGAAGGCTTGGGTTTCAGAAGTCAACCAGAAACACAGTATAGCTGCAGACACACACTGTATTAAATACTTTATATTGTCAGCTCACAAGAGCAAGATGTTAAGACTTTTATTATTATGAGCTCGCACTTCATACAGAGATAAATCTCACTTGCTTTACTCCTCCAGCTCTCCCACAAGCAGAAGGAAAGATGGTGGCTGAGATGTAAGGATCTAGGAAAGCCATTTTCACCATCATTCTCTGTTGCAGACCTCCTGGTGGAGACACTCAGTCTCCCAAAATAAATCTTTTAACAGCCTCTGTCCTGCTCCTCCAAGCATACAGGCTATGAGGTCCAAGACACTATGTAAGCAAGGGAGAAGCACTGTAGATAGATGGGTCCTGATGGCTCTTGCAATATAGCTCAAGGAAATGTGAAATGAGTAGAAATCCCTATGAAGATGATAACCCTTGGTTTATACAGATGTCAGAGTAGCTGCTTTTGCTTTTCCATAGTCAAATGAACTGCAGGAATCTGATTCAGTCTTCTGGATTTTCTCATCACTTGGGTCTGAAATGGCCCCAAGCAGCGCCCAGGATGCCAACCGAGATGTGCCATGGGCAGCAGCTCCACAGCTCTGCCATCTGGGCCTGGGACATGCACCCAGAGGGACTCGGGATCCCTCCTCTTCACCATTTCTCTGCCAAAACTGCTCTACAAGAAAGGCAATTCTGTGAGAACGGCAGGAAAAAAGCACTGAAGGTCTACGAGCTGTCTTTCTGGAGTGTGACCTCTTCAGGGCAGGGGACATCCCCTTGTCAGATGGTCATAAAGGACAAAGATATTTGGCTACTGCTTGACACTGAAAATGATAGCCAGGATACTGCTCCCAGGTCACTTCAAAGTACTGCAGTTAAAAATACCAATCCCTGCAAGACCAGAGAAGAGTAAGGACTTTTAAAGCAAGCACTTAAAATATTAGCTAAGCCAGGAAAGCAGTAATGCTTCAAAATGGCTTTTTTTTTCCCTAAAATGTTTTTTGTTAAAACAATTGGCTCTTTGTCCATTGAGTTACTGACGCAGTCATCTCAAAAGGAGAGGTGTAATCAGAACCTATTCAAAGACACTCTTACTTGTGCACAACGTAACAAGAAAACGCTCTATCCTTAGCTCAGGAGCTGGGAAAAGCAGGAACAGTATTACAGATGCACTAGTTCACTTGATTCCCTTCACCTCAAAAACATCCAATAAAAAGCAAAGAAACAACAAATGTTTTATTAATGAAGAAAGCATCTACAAAACTGCATAATCATTTGTGCCAGTTAGGAGTACATAACAAATACATGGGACTGAAAAGAAAGAATTAGACAAGGAGATAAAAAATATGAGGGAGACAAATTTCAAATTGGAATAAACTAAAAAAGTAAAAGCAAAGAAAAAGGGGGGGGGGAAAAAAGCACCAAATAAAAACCCAACTCTTCCAGTTCCCTCTGTCTGTAGAATGAACCATAAGAAAATCTCACATTTCAAATTCCTCTGGATCATCTAATTCTTTTTAAACTGTACCATCTTCCCATCCCATCTGACCCAAAGCTTAGGATGTACCAGTAGGACGTCTTTAGACAACCTCATCCCTAGAAGTACCAGTTTTCTGCTAAGAAATATACTCTATTCTTATTCATGCATGCAGAAGTACTTTTGCAGAAGTTATGAATTGGTGGCTTTTATCTGAAAGCCACCTTTTACTCACAGGTGCAAAGAGAATTCACTGGAGAGGTAAAAAGTCAAAGGAAAAACATCCAGAGATTCATTCTTCCTATTTTTTGATTCAGCTAAATCAGAGTAAATGAAAAGCCCAAGTTAAACAGGTTTGGCGTATCCTTCATAAAAAAATAACAAGCAACCAACTTTTTCCCTAGGTTTGATGTGATATTCCCAACGCAGTAAGTTTTTTAAGTCACTCTATTTATCTTTCCAGCCCAGCATCCTCAATTCTGCTACCTGTGTCATGAGAAGCAGTCCCCAAGACTTCAGGAGTCCTGCTGGAGTCAAGGGGGCTGTTTGCAGTGTGCCGTCCTCCCTGTACAAAGGGATATTTCTGAAGGAGACATGTGCATGGCTCCTTCCTTCCTTCATCTCTGGAGAGGTGAGGTGGTGCAATTTGCTGCTGGTCCACACGCAGAGCGAACGCTATCCCCAGACCCTGGACACAGTGTCTGGCAGGCAATGCCGGGATGTAAGGAATACTCCTGTGGTCTTACAGGATGACATGGTCTCCTTCCCAATAGAGAAGTAAATCTAGCACATAGTCAACTTGTCATTTACTATAAAGTATTTTTCAGGAAAGAAAGTTTCCATCCAGGTGAATTGCTTAAAATTATTGAAGTTACTTAGGGAAGTTTATGAGCTTTCATTCTTTGTAAATAATAGATATGTGAGGGGGGTTTTTATTATTTATTTTAGAACAGAGATAGCTAATAGTCACGCAAGGAACCAGTAGTTTTTGCACTCTGAGATAGAAAGCAGTTCCAGGAACTGGACAAACAAGGCAGCACAAAGGCTATTATCATTACAGAGAGAATATACACAGGCATAGTTGTTCATCATACTTATATTTCTATAGAAATTAAGCAAAAATAACTAGGGTGCCTATGATTATGCAAGGAGTTTCCTTAGGATCCAGATGAGAAATCACAATGGAGTTAAACACAAGCACCTCCAGGAGGATGAGATTATTTGTGTTGCTCCCTGATTGACTGGAAATGTTTCTCCCTTGGATTAGCCAAATTCTATAGGGACAAGTATACTATTCAGTAATTTACATGTAAATGAGGATGCATAACACTGCAGAATTATTTTCTTCTGAGTGCCTACAGTTCTGAGATATGTCAAAACTGTTATGTGAAGATGGGTTTATACATGGCAGCATCTTAAAGACCACATTTGGGAACTGGGACAGGTTTAATTTTCCTTGTACAGTAAAAATCTTTTCAAGCATAAAAAGAGGTGGACAGGGCACACCATGAACAATGGACCCAGTAAGGCACTTGGACAAATATTTAATGAGATTGAAGGTGACCATAATAGTGCACAGTATTAAAAAGAAGCCATTTAATTTTGTGGATGATTGATTATTTAAAGAGATGCACTGTACACTGGAGAAGCTTGAAATATTTGTATCAAATCTGAATGATTTACGCTTAGGATGTGCTAAAGCAAAGTTTGAAATGCACAGAAACTAGTGCTGTGGTGACAACTCTCTGTGACAGCAGCAGAGGGCTAGCTAGCTTTTGTCCATATAACTTATTGATGGCGATTTTTGGATGACTTATTCTGTTGATCTTTTTTCTGAACATGGAAACTGCTAACAGTTTCCCTTTTCACCAGTCCTGTGGCAAAGCCAGAACGCAAAAAAAATAAATTTTACCTTGGGGCGGTTTTAGGGTCAACAAGAAAACCTCAAACCAATGTGGTCAGCAAACCAGCTTTATGCTTAGTGGCAACAAAAGCCAAAGTCTTTTTTTTTTTTTTTTTAAACAAAAAAGACAAAAATGTTTATCTAAAGATAAGCTTCTAAATCCTTAGTTCAGCACCTCAATAAGCAGCCTGGCCTTTCTTAAGGGCTCACTCCCCACTAGTTTTCACTCCTGTCAAGACAGCAATACTTGGCATTTCTAGTTTCCTAACAGAAAAAAACATATGTGCAACCAAAAGGAAATTCTGGAAAGGTCGTATGTGCAAGAGGGATACCATGGGTAGCTCTAACCTCAGCCTCGTTGCCCATCCCAAAGCCATGCCACAGGTTGGCCCCACTCTGCACTTGGGCTGATGGGAAGCTCTGGAGAGCAGGTGCCCCAGGGAGAGCAAAGCAGTGGGGACCACCACCTAACAGCCAGCTGCCCACTTGCAAACAACGACCTCCTCAGTCCTGCATCCATTTCTCTGCCACTTCTAATCTCCAAAATAATTGGAAAGTCAAGCTAAACTTTTAACTTTGTGATTTACCTGCAGAGTTACAGAAAGGACTCCAGTTGGCTTTAGGAGGCAAGAGGAGATGCTGTCCTGTGCATTTCTTAACCCTCAAGAAATTCTTGACAGCCACAGGTGACGTCTTACTCATCCTCATCAGATCCCATTGATAAATTGAGCTCCAGATAACAGCTCATTAACTTAATCCAATGCTGTTCAAACAGATCAATACTTTGTGAAGGGAGATGTTACTCTAACCTCTTAACTAAGAAACACCAGGACACAACAGAGCAATATATAACTACAAATAAATACTACAGGAATGCACAGAACCTTTAGGCTGTAGTTTGCCCTGAAGTTACTTACATAATGTATAGACTTTCTCTAAAAAAGGCAGAAGCCCAAACTCCCAGCCCAGCAATCAGCAGGACCATAAAAACTTAATTCTTCATACCTCTCAGTCTCAGGCCAAGGCAAAAAAAAATAGGGCTTTAAGCATAGTCACCAGGTCCTGCTTATGTCTTATTTATATTGGGTAAGTTTGATGAAATCAGCAGCTGCACCAGTTGAAGAAAGCTGGTAGGAGAACAGGACCAACATGATGAAATCAGCAGCAGCACGACTTGAAGAAAGCTAGTAGAACAGGACCAACCCTCATTCAGTCCTCTGCAGGACACACCAGAGATTTCCTGGAGAGCAACTAGGACTTACTATGGGTTTCTTGGGATGAGCTCCCTGCACCCCTCAGACTTGAACACCTGTTGCTCTTCACATCCAGGTGAAGACTGCCTGACCCAGAGCCACCTTTGTGAAGGGTGTTTGCAGATCATACGTTTATATTGCACTACTTTGCTCTTCATATGACCTCAGCAGGCTTTCTACCTTGAATGCTGTAGTGTAACTCTCCGTGCTGCCAAAGGCAGCTCCCCAGCAATGCTGTCACCGCTCCTGGTGGGTGCTCTTATGTGGCATGGGAACATTAATGAGTGTAGCAAAGTGCGCAGAGACGCATGGGTTCCCTGCAGGGGACAGGATGACCCTCCTCCTGCTCAGGCTGTGCACTGATAGGACAAGAGGAAACGGTCTTCATAGGACAAGAGGAAACAGTCTCAAGTTGCGCCTGGGGAGGTTCAGGTTAGATATTAGGAAGAACTTCTTCACTGTAAGGGTCTTTAGGCATTGGAACAGGCTCCCCAGGGAGGTGGTGAAGTCACCGTCCCTGGAGGTGTTCAAAAAACGTTTAGATGTGGCGCTTCGAGACATGGTTTAGTGGGTTTAGCGGGCATGGTGGCATCGGGTGTACAGTTGGACTTGATGATCTTTGGTTGGACTTGATGATCTTTGAGGTCTCTTCCAACAATAATGATTCTATGATTCTATGAAGCCCCTGGTGACTTGGCAGGACTGCTTTGGTGCAGAAGACTGCATGGACGGATGCTGTCCTGCATGGATCACACTGTCCATGGCCAGCAAGCTGCTGACCAGTCAGACTACCCCAGCTGACAAGACTGATGGGCCTAAGCACCATCCATTGAGACTATTTGAAATCTCTCCTGTTTCACTAGCTGTATTTAGGGATATAGGGGAGGAGATGAAAAGTGCAAGCATGCTTGGTTTCTGATGGAAACACACACATCTGTGCTAAGCAGCCAGGGCCATCTGAAGAGCATTTGGAATTGGCTCTTTTAGCTTACATGCTCTTCTGCAGTCAAGTGTCAGGAGACCACTCATCTGAATCACCAGCTTGAAGAGTGGGATAATCTGCTGCAGCCACCTCTCTCATGGGAGAGGGCACAAGCTGCACAGATGCCTTCATGTCAGCTCAGCTGCCACCTGCAGCCATTCCCGTGGGCAAACAGTCCTTGGCTGGGACATGGGGTAGCAGTTGCAACGACACAAAGGCATGAAAATTGTTCATCGTGGTCCCAACTACTTAGCCTGAGGTAAAATCTTCAGGCTGAATGTTACCAAAACTGATCAAGCTAAAATTCTCAAAAGTGGCTAGTGGCTTTTTGTGCTTTCCCTGAGAAACCTTAGGAGGGCTCAGTTTGAAATCATCTGCTGAAACTACGGTCTGCTTAAGGGCTGCAGGTTGGAAACTCAAAACCAGAGACAGTTAGATCTTGTTTGATACTTACTTTGCCTTTTAAACCAGAAGTGCTCTTCCAAGCTTTCCCCAAACCAGAATTCAGTGGTCTCCCCCTCAGTAGCAATCAGACAGGTCTGTGTTAACACTTATCTGATACCACTGAGCATCACAGAGGGACCTAAAAAATGTGTCTTCAAAACCCAACACTGTAAAATGTGTTTTGCCAGCTCCATCAACTCAGATGTTTTGTTTACATGAGTGAAGCCACATTTAACCTCAGGAGGATGCAAGTCAGGTCTTAATGCACATTACAGTGATGCCTTTTTCATGGACTGGTCCTTTGTTTCTTGTTCAAGGAAGATACAACAGATAGCACAAGTGGGTCCTTTTTCAACATAGCCTTACACTCGTACAAAATAAATAACTGTAGCAGGGTCATTGTGGTTAATGAGGTAACTTCAACTTCACCCTGCAGCATCTTTCTTTTGCTTCCCCTAAACATATCAAGAGACTATAAAAAGAAGCCAGAGCGGCTAACAAAGAACAAACCCAACTTCAAATTTTAACAAGAAAAAGGCAAAAATACTCAAACACAAAGCCCAGAAGCATGTCGATTTATCTCCAAGCACACTGAGGTGTTGGATTTACTATTTCCTTTTGCCTGCACTCCAGAGCTGAGGCTGCACGTTCGTGCCCAGCGCTTATGGTTCTTGTAGCTAATACATCTGTACAGCAATGGGCTTCTTGCCAATTAGCTTTTAACTCCAGCTTACATTTTCTGGATAGATTAGATACCAAACCTGTTTTGCAGAAGACACAACATCCTTCACACTGCATCACTGAATGAGCATCTGTTACTGTAGTGCCTGGGTGTTATTTCCTAGATGACCAGGGAACTGCCAAGTGAACTCATCCACCCAAGCCATTCAATTTTCAACATCCATTTTTTAAAAGCCAAATGAAAAGAAATGCCAGCAGAACTCAAAGCCTCTCTGTCACCTCAGGACCCAATCCTGTAAAATACCAGTATTTCCTGTGAAAGGCTGAATGCTCTCATGCTTTGTTAAGCTTTTTCTGACAGCTGGGAAAGCCTCAGCAGCCCGCAGAGCTGCTTTCCTTACGGAGGAAAGGGGGACATCCACTACTTGTCTACTGAGGCCTTTCTACTTTGGTTCAGGTTTTTTTTTTTTTTTAAATATGCACAAATTTTCTTCCACAGTTCCTTTAATGCACAGCCTTTTTTTGCACCAAGCTAAGTCCAATAAAACTCCACTATCTACAAATAGTGTTTCTGTTGCTCAGCTGTCTAAAGACTACTCTCAGGACTGGTCTTCCTTGTCTGCAGAGAGTAAAAATGGGAGTACCAAGGTCCTAAATGAACAAAGGTGTGAACATCTGAAAAAGCAGCGGCAGCCTTAAAACTGTCAACAAAACAGATAATTCTCACAATAACCAGCTTCCCACGCACAGCTCGGCCCCTCCTCTCATGCACAGTGTGAAAGTTTATTTGCAGGACTAGAGGGAATGCCTGGATCGATGAGGGAAAAAATTCAGTCCAAAGCTTGAAAGGGAAGGAGTTGCCTGGCTCTGAAGAAAAAAAACTACTTCTCAATTTACTGATAATCTGACACCACGGCTGCAATGCATTTCACTCACCTTTCTCTTCAGGAAATACCTTGCCTAACACATGTAGAATCACATTTGCTTATTTCCACACCAAGGTAACCCAGTTTTGGCACCTTGTTACTCTGAGTGGGCTTCATTTCACCTGACTGAAGACATGTGCAATATAGAGTTATTCATCTTGGGCTCCCCTTGTAGTTAAAGTGAACAGAAAAAGGCACTTTCAGGGAATGACTCATTTTTCATCTCTAAGAAGAAATAAATCCTGCCCACACTGACTGTAGTGACTAGACCTCCGTTGCTTTAAAGACTGTTGAGAGTAACGAGCTCCAATGTAGATTATCTACATTAAAAGAGATAAATTCTCACCATATCAAACTAGCAAACTGTCCAAATTGCCCTGCCTGTGTAGCAGCTATTTCCATAACACCATCTCATGGTTTTCCAAGTGAATTTGTTCTTGGATCCTAATGGTATTTGTCCTAATAGCTTTATTTATAGCCTTGTTAAATATTTTGCAGTAGTGGTGCTTTGCAACAAAGATCCTGGCAATCTGCAAAAGGCTTGAAGTCTGTTGATCAGCTGCTCATCTTTCCTGGGTGTTATTTGAACTGGATGCTGAACCTTTCTGGGAACTACCTTTGGACTCTAAGAACAGCCCTCCACAAGTAGCTGTACAGAAGACCAGAGGTTAGATGCAAACAGATAGCAACCAGTGGGAGGAAACGCAGTCTCAAGATGGTAAGACTCACACTGAATCATTTTAAAAGCATCATTTTCTAGCCACCGGACAATGTCAGATATTCAAATGTCAAAAGAAACCAACTTTAAAAACGTCCTTACAAGAAAAGAAAATTCATATTAAACCCAAGATTTAGGTATTTGCCTCCAGCCAGCTCTGAAGAGTAAGTCTGACCAGGAGTCATGAACCTCTCTTACATGACACTAGACACATGTTGCTGCGTGAGTAAGCCTGTTGTCTTCCCACCCTGCCTAGGATGGTGGGTCTGGGTTTCTCACTGTAGACTGCATGTCGCGTAAATAAATTACAGCAAACTCCAACAACATTTAGAAGGAAACAAGAGTGTGAATCACATACAAAAGTTATAAAGTACTCACCAGGTCGCCTGTTCCAGGCTTTTCCATAATAACTGGGGGGAGCAGTAACCCTGCAGGAGAAGTAGGGTCTGGGTTGAGTGCCCCGGTGCCTCCTCCTATCAGGGAAACCACACCATTGCAATCCACTGAGCTGTTCCTTTTGCCCGTCTGGATGTAGTTGGGAGTAGTAGGGTGAGAACTATGGCTCACTTGACTTTGCACGCTTGGACGCCTCCCAGATCTTGGAATTAAGAGAGAGCCTCGGTGGCTTTCATTTTCCCCAGCAGTGCTGATCTCATCATCGGCAAAATCTGTTTCGGAGCCAGTGTCTCTGCCACGGAGTCGGAAACTGAATATGCTTCCGTGGCTGGTTCTGCGCTTCACCAAGTTTGCACTGGGACCATAACTAATGCCAAGGAGAGTCTAGAAACCCCCAGAAAGGAAAAAGGGGAAAGAGAAACAACATTTTGCAACATGTTTTCCGGAGCAAGGAAGGTCTGGGGAGAGCAGTAAGTTCCGTTTTAAACCAAGTGCTTCAGAGAAAGGCTTAATTACACATATTCAACCTTCACAAAGTTAAGAGGTTGAATAGTCATTCCTAGCTGTTAGGTATTTATCTAATACTTGACAGTTAAAGATGTACTGAAATAGGAAGGGTCAAGGTGGCATTCACCTTGTAGCATGATGCTTCCTTTGCTTCTATTCCCCCCCTGTCTGATAAGCACCAAAGGACCTGGGAAGGCAGCACAAGGAGTGGAAGACAGGAGCAGGGAAGGGGATCCAGCTCCAGTTTACTGAATTATCACACATCTTCATATCAGCTAGGGAAGGAACGTTGCAGTGGGAGAAGAAGAGATAAAGAAATAGGGCAGGAAATGAACTACAGGGAAAATGAGAAGAAGAGGGAAGAAGAAGAAGCAGAATACGACGGAAGAAGGTGATAAAGGAAAAACAAAAAAACCAAGAGCAATAAGAGGGATATGGTTTATTAGTTTGTAAAATGATTATCCCAATGCACACGGCTGCTTTAAAGGGTAGGTAACCTCAGTACACAGCAGTCTCCCTCACACTCAAATATCAGCCTTGACGATCCATTCTGACGTCAGCTAGTGAGAGTGCAACTCTGACAGCATGAGCAAGACGTAGCCAAGGACTAAACATGCCTAAACCCTGGCAGAGTAAAAAGGATGTTCAGAAAATGCATAAGGAATTAAAGTCTATCCCCTTCCCTGGTATCTGAAGAGGAAATTATTGGAGTAAGAGCATTTAGGCAGAACATACTTTTGATTTCATGACTTGTACAGAATTTTCAGCTTCTTCAGAACTTTCTCATGAGCCAAGTATATACGAAGAGAGGTCACATCTCCACAGCACCCACAAAACAGACAAACTAAAGGAAGCCTGATTTCATTTTGCACTGTAGCTTACACCACTGAGTTACGTAATGATGCTATTTTGTGACATTGGTACAAGGAAGAGTACAAAAACCAGGCCCCTTCTAACTAAAAACAACCCATTTGGATTGCTACCAAATTTTAACTGGTCAAAACTCCATGCCTGGGTTTCCATGACACAGTCATTGAGACTGATTTCTGATGGCAACACACTTCCAGCTGCTCAGATTGCATCTGAATGATGACTCAGCCTTACTCCCTCCAACCATGCCAGACACAGCCTTGCAGAGAAGATTTACTATAAGCTTTGAAATGTGTCTCCCATGTTTCTCATGCATATGACATCCAGGGGCGAAAAGTGAAAACAAGAAATATTCATCTAAGAAACAAACTGGCAATGCACAGCTCCAATCCACAGTCATTCTGGTACGTGGTGTCTTGAAACCCATCCAGAATGAAGTTAAAGAGCAATTCTAGCTTTAACAATGGTGTAATTTGTAACGCAACCCACTCAACCAATGAGACAACAACAAAAACTATTAGATTAAAAAATGCATGTCATTTACAGAAATCCAGCTCTGTGTAAATTTTGTGAGCTGGGGAGTCATTAATTGGTCACATTTACTTACATCACTTACATGTTTTCTATGAGCTTTTTATGGCTGCCAAATATCCCTAAATTCACTTACAACAAAATACAAAAAGACTTAGCCCATTACATGGCTATTCAAAAAACCAAAATAAACTGATTTAAACTTTGCCCTCAGTTAAGCAAAGACAAATTATCTGAAGCTATTTATGATCATTTGATACATACAGCATGTGCAGATTCATATTCATGCATGTCAGTAACATTTACATAAACCCCTATTTAACAACTGCCTCACTCTATTTTTTTCCCAGCAATAGAAAGTAGAAACAAGTGCCATAAAGTTTTGACTTGAAGGCAACTAGCAAAGGAATATAAAAATGTTAATAATGCCTTTGCATAGCATTTTAAAAAGCCCTCAGAGACAAGTTTCCTCCTTTTCTCCTCCTCTCATTTCTTTCTAAGCTTTGCAGGTTTCTTCTAAGAATTTTTTATCTCTAGCAGGGATAGGATAGATATAATAAGATGAATGAAATTAAAGTAAGAAAATAAACCAGACTGTGGGTAATCTTGAAAAAAAAAATTGAAAAAAAAAAAGATTTGTAAGAATGTTTAATGGGCATTTTTAATTAATTTTGAAAATAAAGTGGTAATATGTTTCCTTCCACTGTTCTGACACAGACTATCTGCAGGTCGGTGATGATATTAAATACCTGATTCTTCTTTACAGCTGAAAGTTTCAGCTTTCATTGCCTGTTCAGAGCCTGGCCTATCCAGCAAAGTGCAGTTTGGAATAAGTGACATTTCAGACCATGGCTTACCATTCTTCTCTGACCATCATCATAGTCACACTTGGGATTCCTTTGATCTTCCTCATAATCTTCTGCTCCCAAAGATTTTTTTTTCTTTCGCTTATTTCTTCTTTCCTTGGCATTTTTGGATGCTAAAGGTGACATTTCCAATGAACTAAGTGACATTGAATCAATTCCTTTAGCAGCTAATGCCTAAAACAGAAGATGGTAGAAGGTGTAAAATTTATTACTTGAGTTAAGAATCTCAGTGAGAGCTAACAATTACTCTGCTCAGTAATTATTGTTCATTTTAAGTTTTAAGGTTGTACAGGAGATAAATAAAAAATTTCAGGTGGTCATTAATCATAAAACTATCTCACATGACTGGAACTGGTCTTAACCTGTTTCTAACCTCTATGTTTAGCCATAGGGAAATAAACAAGTGAGACAGGTTCCTAGTACAAATGCACACATGAGAGTCCTGCCACCCAGATCCTATGATGGGGCATTAGGAATGGCTGCATAAAATAATGTAATTTATGTAGAGTTCACACACAAGATCTTTCGACATTTCACGAGAGGAACAGCCTGTGTGCACACACCTGCAGGTGTACACTGTGCACACATCTCTGGAGTAACACTTTTGGTGCCAGTCAAAAAAAAAAATCTCAAGCTTAGGGAACCTCTGATTAACCCCCTCCCCTGAACTTCAGCCCCTTGAACCGAGAGGGCTGGACAGGAGGGTAGCCAAGGTGGCTGCCAGGATTTTTCTTCCCCTACCACAGAAGGATGCTAGGAACAGCAGGCAATTCAGCTGGCACATTTTTGTAAACACTTGCAGGCAGCTATGATCAGAAATGCAAAGAGAAAACAGTGGGCTTAACTAGAGCTAAGCTGGATTTTGCTTTCCCGTGTGCTTCAGTGCTGTCCTGGCTATCTGGTGGGATCGCTGCAGGAACTGACCGATAACGGACCAACTGCTAGAAACCCAGCAGAAGCCGAATGCAAAAGCTTGAGCGCGCAAAGCCACAGCTTTGGAAGCAAACGAGCAGCCAGGAGGAAGAATCGATAGGTGCAGGGAGGAAGCTGCAGCCCACACCAGCGCACTGGGTCCCCGTCCCTGGTGCGGGCGGGAGGGGTGAGGGGGCTCTGAGCACAAAGCATGAGGTCGGGTTTGGAAGTGCCGGTGTCAATGTGGTAGCCACATCAGTGGCCTGGAGATAAGCTCATTTGCAGAGCCACCAGCCGAAATACATAAAGAGAGTGAATTACCAAAAAAAAAGAAAAAAAGCCTCTCCAGGTTCCCAAGAACAGGAGAAACAGATGAATCCTCAGTGCTATTGTCTGTAAGCCACTAGAATCAAACAGGTAATCAGCTTGCCGCAGCAAAATACTCCCTTCCTCCCACAGGCATCAGTCCAGGGAAAGTGAAGGCACTTAACAGTCGTGTAAAGAATCAATCATGTATTTCAAGGAGTAGCGGTAGCTCTGTCAAGCTGAGAGCACAACAAAACTTAATTCCTGTGGGAAATATCTTTCATGAGCAAGCTGCTTAGAGCAGAGAGGAGGAGGGTTCAGACACCGGTCTAGGCTGCACCTTTTTTTTTCTCGAGTCAATTGATTTAATTGCTATGTTGAAGTGCTTTCCCTTCATAAAGATTCAGCAAGTCTTTTGGTGTTAAGTTCAGGTTTAGGAGTGTGTTCGACCAATTGTGTAAATTGACTGATAGTCCCCAAGCAGACCTATCAATTATATTTGTGCTCTCTTTATACTACACAGTATAAAAGCTGATCTAAAGAGTTTTGGTTTTCCTTTCTGATTGCCATCATATTTTATTGATGTAGAAAATATTGTAGGTTGTGCTACTAAGCATGCTGTACTCTTACTGCAAAATAAAATATTTTTCAGTTTCTTAGCATTTTCTTACCTATTGCTTGGGTTGAATTGCTTCTGCCCTGCATACTTTTTTCAGTTATTGAAAAAGGGTTTGGACTAAATTGTTTCTTAGGGTGTGGAGGATGTCCCCACATCTTGCCTACCTACTCTTTCTGGTTGGGTTCCTGTGGCTGGACCATGTCCTACTCCTCAGGCACTGCAAGCCATAACCCACTGCCGTAACTCCCAGGGGCAGGAAAGGCATGTGGGACCAGATATGTCTACCAAGGATGGGTGGTGATGAGGAGAAGGATGGGAGAAAAGTTTAGCTCACATGACCCCTGACATGGGGATTACGCAGGAGATAGGCCTTAAGGCAAGCACTTAGCGGTACCATGAGAAAGTCAAAACCAAGATCTTGATAAAGGATTGGAGAGCAAGATTAAAACTGAGTAGCTCTGACTGGGGTGAGATGCCTGAGAAGGACATCTGAAAGCTACATGGTGCAGCCACTCAACTTTCCTGAGCCTCTTCTCCCAGTTGTCTAATTTGAGGTGTTGGGGGTTGACCTGCAGAATTACTGGGTTTCACTAGTGAACACAATGGACCCCAATTGCCTACTCCTAAATTTCCTTTCTCTAAGATTAGGATAATTCTCCAGGAGCATTACGAATACAAGCGAGTATTTTTGAAGCGCACAGAGTCTGAGCAGTGGCAAGAGGCACTGTAAAAGCTCGGAGGATGTTAGTCATTTTGTCTTTGAAGCGGGCTTCGAATGCCTGAGTTGGGAAGTCTGTTCGAGCTGGCCTAAGGCTACAGAACAAATGATGAGAAAGTGAAGAGCTGCTCTTGAGTCATGCACTGTCCACCCTTTGTACTGAACAGGGTACAGGAAAAATGAGACATGGTTGGCTGAAGAAAAGACTATGTTATAAAGCATATAGACAAATGGGAACAATTTAGGTTTTCATGAGCAACCTTCATTTTGACATGTTCTGACTTTCAGGGCTTAATGTTCCTTTTTTGTGTACATACAGGCTTAACCGAAATCAAAGCCTTCAAAAGGAAATTCTTAAATATCTTTAATTATAGCTGGGGCTACCAAAGTTGACTGTTATTAGGAAGAGCTCAGCTGGAGTCAAAACACATGAAAATTTGTATAAAATAGGTACGAGTTAGAGCTCTGTTTGCTCCCTTAGGTTATGGCAGAAAGTCACTCTGTTTAAAGTTCCTGTACATGGACTAAACTGTGTTTACCTATTACTTAAACCATCAAAGAGGATCTTTAAAAGGACTTAAATGATGTATAAGCCTCTACTAGCACTTTGTCAAGGGTGAATTGCATTTTCTATTTTCTTTCCAAGGATTTAAATGGGCTTTGGATTAGGCCCTGAAGCCATATGTACCCAAAAGAAAATTATGTATATTAGTTTATATTGTGTACCAAGGATTTATTTCTCTGAACTACAGTGCTACGTGTTATTTCAGACTAATTTTCTTATTGTCTTCTTGTTCACAGCACCTAAAATGTTCTCTTCAGCTGTTTAATAAAGGCTTTCTACCCCACACAAACCACATGCAAATTAACTAGTGTTATTAGGGCTATATGGCTACATCCCCCATTTGGACTCCCTGTTTTGTTTAAACTTATGACATAACATTAAATCCATATCCTTTGCATAATTTGCAAAGCTTAACCTCAAGATCTGCCTGTTTACTTGTTCAGGAATGAAGTTGTATGTGCTCCAAACAGGTTATCCTACATCTTTGTCTTCATAATCAGACAGTTGGATATTCATGGCAGTTTGAATGAGACAGTGAGGAATGAACTTGAGCTAAAGTGGTGGTGGAAGAAGGTTCAGCTGGGACTATGGCTGAGCTACCAAAATAGCTATTTTGTGCTCAAATGAAAATGTAGTTATACCATCATTAAAATGTCTTATATGCCAACCAATATAAATTCCACTGCTGGCATATGTGGTACAGTTAAACCACTACAACTCTGGATATGTAAACCCTAAATGGCCCCAATCCTAGCAGGAAGAGCCATCATTTTTCTTTTAGAAGGAATTGTAATAACTCTGTCCAGGACAATAAACATTAAGCTGCTCTCAAGTAAGTAAACTCTTACTTTGGTTATCACATAAATGTAAAATAAAAGAGAATGTGAATCTCAAGGTACCATCTGTTCAAGTTACCCAAGGCTAATCATGTCACATAATTTACTGACCTCCTGCTCTTTCTTTAACATCTCCATGGCTTCCCGAAACTTTCTTTCCTTCTCCTCTGTTTCAGCAATAGTGGCTTGGTTCTGCTCTTCATATGCCATGGCCACAACAGCCAGAATCAGGTTGATCAGATAAAATGAGCCCAGAAAGATGACCAGCATAAAAAAAAGCATATAGATCTTCCCAGCAGATCTGAGAGTCTGTAAGCAGAAAAGTAAAATCACTAACACTTTTTTACAATGTTTTTTAAAAGAAAAAAATATTTTGAAATAATTTTTTTTTGAAATGTAGATTTACAATATAATTGACTTCAGTCTTTGTTAACAGCCCAAACAGAATCCCTTTGATGACAAACAACAACCACAGGTAAGGAAATATTCTCTCTAATAAATTTTCATACTTTAGTCAAAAATTGCGTGCCTTGCAGTAAGGTTCATTTCTAAAAGAAAAATGCTTTCCTCCTTTACCAAACAACTCCGCTGGCTTTCTTTTAGGATAGATAATCTTACAATCGGTTGCAGTCAAAGCTTCCCCCACATAGCTCAATCTATTTTTGTCCAGTGCATAGAAACTTTCCAAGAGGGATTCATGTTGTATTCCTTCAGATGTCTGCAGTCTAGGTCCTTTACAGTGAGTGGGGAGAAAAAGGTACTTTTAGGGTGCAACTCATCTGAACGTTATTTAGACATCTGCCTCGGGATAAGAAGAACCAAACCTTGGGCACCATTGACTGTATAGCCTGGTTCTTCACCAGATTTACAGGCATAACTAGAGTTAGGGTAACAGGCTGAGCTTATGTTACAGATATGTCCCATGGTCACTGACCTGATGCTAGTGATAGAAAACATTGTGTGACATTATAAAGCCAAACAATGAAAGGGAGTGATGTTCACCCTTATTTGCCATGACAGTTTCAGTCTTCCAGAGTTGTACATGCAGCTCTGGGCCAAGTAAGTGAATATGGTTGTTTAAAGAATCTTCAATTTCATTGTTTTACATTTTCCTGAGATTAAATTGTATAACTAGTTGCATGTGAAGCTGAAATCCCTGATACCTTCAAAGATGTCTACCTCAGTACCTTCAGAGTACTGTCTGTCAGCACTAACTCCCTTGATTTCCTTACAAATATGTTCCAGTTTTGGCAATTTTGAGACGCAGAAGTAAATCTTCAGTGGCTACATGCACAGAGTACGTCATTCAGTATCAAACTATCATATGTGGTTCTTCAGAGTTCACATACATTTCAGGAAATGCATGCTAAATTGAGCATTTACTAGCAGACCACCTTGCACACATGACTAAGCTGACTCTACCTCCATTTGTGCCTCTGGCTGTCAGGTGTCCATGATGAAAAGCTTGCAGCAGGCAGAACTGAAACGTACCAGGTCGCCTTGCCAGTTGCTGAATTTGTGTTCATTATCATGCCTTGCAAAACCAGATATGTCAAGTACACAGGTGCTTCCCTAGTCTTTTTTTGAGCTGGATTCAAAAGATTAGTTCATGTTACACAGAGCCACCAAAAAAAAATCATTAAGTGGTGACATAGAGATCTTTCTTAAGTGGTGAACTTCATTTAGATTTAGGTGAATTACCCATTCTGAGCGTCTTTCTCTCAGTATGAGTTTTCCCTCCCATCATCAAACACCCAGCCTAATGTCTTCCAGTATCAGCACTCCTAAACAAAGAAATTAATTGTAACAATTGATGGTCCTTCTCCAGAACACACACAGCACAGTTTACCTAATAACCAGTAATTCTTTCTCTTATTATTGGATATATAACTGTAACAAGATGATATGTTTATTTTATATTTTTTAACAGTAATAAAACAATCTTATACCTGTTGATAAAGACGTTCCCAACAATCTTGAGTCATAAGACGAAACAAAGAGAGAAAGGCCCAGCCAAAAGTATCAAAGCTTGTGTAGCCATGGTCAGGATTTTCCCCAGCCTTCAGACATATGTATCCATCAGGGCATGTGCTGCAAAACATGAGAGACAATACATAGAATCATAGAATCATTTAGGTTGGAAAGGACCTTTAAGATCATCGAGTCCAACCATAAACCTAATACTGCCAAGCTCACCACTAAACCACATCCCTAAGCACCATATCTACGTGCCTTTTAAATGCTTCCAGGGATGGTGACTCCACCACTTCCCTGGGCAGCCTGTTCCAGTGCCTGACAACCCTTTAGATGGAGAAATTCTTCCTAACATCCAATCTAAACCTCCCCTGGCACAACTTGAGGCCATTTCCTCTTGTCCTATCACTGGTTACTTGAGAGAATGTACCAATCTCCACCTCACTACAACCTCCTTTCAGGTCGTTGTAGAGAGCGATCAGGTCTCCCCTCAGCCTCCTCTTCTCCAGGCTAAACACTCCCAGCTCCGTCAGATGCTCTTCATAAGACTTACCCTCCAGACCCTTCACCACCTTCGTTGCCCTTCTCTGGACTCGCTCCAGCACCTCAAGGTCTTTCTTCTAGTGAGGGGCCCAAAACTGAACACAGCACTCGAGGTGTGGCCTCACCAGTGCCAAGTACTGGGGGTCAATCACTGCCCTGGTCCTTTTGGCCACACTATTTCTGATACAAGCCAGGATGCCGTTGGCCTTCGTGGCCACCTGGGCACACTGCTGGCTCATGTTCATCTGGCTATTGACCAACACCCCCAGGTCTTTCTCTGCCTGGCAGCTTTCCAGCCACTCTTCCCCAAGTTGTTGTGACCCAAGTGCAGGACCTGGCACTGGGCTTTGTTGAATTTCATACAGTTGGCCTCAGCCCATCAATCCAGCCTGTCCAGACCCCTCTGTAGAGCCTTCCTACCCTCAAGCAGATCAAGACTCCCACCCAACTTGGTGTCATCTGCAAACTGACTGAGGGTGCACTCGATCTCCTCATCCCTATCATTGATAAAGATATTAAACAGAACTGGCCCCAGTACCGAGCCCTGGGGTACACCACTTGTGACCGGCCGCCAACTGGATTTAACTCCATTCACCACCACTCTTTGGGTCCGGTCATCCAGTCAGTTTTTTACCAGCAAAGAGCATGCCCGTCCAAGCTGTAAGCAGTCAGTTTCTCCAGGAGATGCTGTGGGAAACGGTGTCAAAGGCTTTACTAAAGTCTAGGTAGACGACATTCACAGCCTTTCCCTCATCCACTAAGTGGTTTACCTTGTCATAGAAGGAGATCAGGTCAGTCAAGCATGACCTGCCTTTCGTAAACCCGTGCTGCCTCGGCCTGATCACCTCGTCATCCTGTACATGCCGCATGATGGCACTCAATATGATCTGCTCCATAAAACGCACCATGGAATGCATCATAGATGGCTTCAGCATGAAGAAACTGATTTCCAGGGGAATATAGTGAAAGTTCCTGGTTAAGAGCACAGATCCTCAATGGTAAATTCCTTCACTGGGTAGAAACACAGGAAGCAGCTGGATGCTACCTTACCAGTACCACAGATATTTGCAATCTTATTTTGCTTTCAAAAGGATAAACTGGAAAACGGTAACCATAGCTCAAGTTGCAATGGCAAATGAGAGCCTAGCTTTTCAGATATTTGAAATAGACCAGAATTAGGTGCCTAAGCCGGACTTTAGTGCTTAAATATGATTATTCTTGGCATTTATTCCTAATTAAGAATCATAAACTTGGTGTCTCCTGTTACAATTGTGTAATACTGTGACGGTGAACCTGCTTTTCTGCTTATGTAGTCTGACACTGGCTGGATGACACCAGAGTGTGCCATCTGAGCGCCTTCCTGATTGCTTACTATGCCTGACCTTGCACTCACCCCCTGCAAGGACTAAATCTTTAATCTAAGAAACCCAGCCCTTTGTTCCACTCACTGCAGTAGTCTGGGGTCATGACATTTTTTCTGCTTCTGCCAGGAAAATATTTTCCTCATGTGTCTTGCGGATTCACGTATTAAATGGTATGCAGATAGCATGAATTTCACTAGCTCTCATTAAACTTTGAGACTTTTTACAAGTAATTTTCTAGCCCCATATGGCAGAATAAAAAAAGAATGCTCTCAATGGTACTTTGTAAATACTGAATTACATCATCAAGTGAAACACAAGGTAGAAGAGATCCGAGGTCAACGAGCCACCCTCTCTCCCAGAACAGTGTAATATGATTAGTAAAAAGACCCTACACCTCTTGCATATCACAAGCCGCTTTCCAAACATAAGATATGCCCCATCAGAAACTGAAGACATAGAGGAATACGCAAAGGCTTACTGCTGCATGTATCACAGGAAAAGAATATGAGATCAAGGACCTTGCCAGTGTCCTTAAGCCCTACAGTATTCAGGAATTTGTTAGGTGGGAATCATCTAACTATCTGGAGAAGCTGTTCTCAGCAAAACTTGCTAGCAGAATGCTAGCTGTCTCTCTTCTCCTTATGCTTCAGATAGAGATGAACCTGGTACGATTCGGTGCAAATTCTAGCTGATGCAACTAGTAATGGTTGGAACAAGAGGGATCGTGAAAGCACTTTTTTGTCAGAGATCAGAGACATTGAGAGACACCAACTTCCAGGCAGTGTTTTGATAACAGAGTAATACCCTCTGTCCTGACAGATGGTGAGCTTGATGTTCTGCCTGTCAGATAGAGGAATCAAGGTTTTCTGAACTTCTTTCAGATAGGATGATTATTGTAATATCCAGCCATTTCAGACACGTCGCCAGTCATGTAGAGTGTGTCCAATGTGTACAGCTTTTAACTTTTTTTTCTCCCAGCAAAAACCTATTGAGTGTTTCAATCACTGCTATTTTTTACCAAAGGAGACTATTGCCACAAATTGAAATGCAAAGCAGTAATACAAATAATGCAAAGTAATTTTAAAAATGCCACCCAAAAAAGAAATTGACTCCTGAGAAAGCAGAGTGTGTCTCAGTGTGAAAATCAAGGAAGGTTTTTTTTAAAATATCAATTTTATACTGATATAAATCAAACCTCTGCAGTACAGGATGGCAACCCTGTATTGCATGTCAAGATGAGAATACATTGTTACAGGTTTTGAAGTCTATAGTGTCAGCCACCAACACTAGACAATCAACTACACTTTAAGAAGCTTAATTTAATATCAGTAGTCAAGCACAAATTTTTAAGTAAGTCTGCTTTGAATGCTGAAAAAAGGAATGCTGAAGCATTGCAAAATGTGTGCATATGCTTGTTTGCATTTACTGAATTAAATGTAACACACAAGTGAGAATATAATAAGTGATTCTGTCACCTTACGTAGAGCCAAGTTAGTTTATGTCAGTTGAGAATTTAGACAATAGTAACTATATCTCACAAAGAAAGACACTTCTGATTTTTTTCCCTGCCAGCCTAGAAATGCCTCCTTCTAGATCTTTCTTACTTTGACTACCTGTTGTTTCTTTGTATAAACCATATTTGAATAAAGATTACAGTAACATTACTGAGTTAGAAGAGAATACAATGCAGAAATCTCAGCTTTTTTCCCCTAAAATATGCAGATGCACACTGAATCTCTCTTGTATATCCATGTCCTTTCTTGAGGCAGCCTTTTCACTAAATCTCCTCTCTCCCAAGGGCAGCATCTGCTGTCACTCTCTGCCATGGAGACATGAGATTTCTGCCTCTGATCTGCTGCTGCAGACAACCTTCAGTGCCCATGATGTGCTGCTGACACTGTTGAAGAGCTCTGAGAAATGGATCCTCTGGGTTCCTGAGAAGGAAACCCTTTCCGCTTGCTTGCACTAAGACATCGTGTCCAGACAGGACATGAAAATTTTTGTAAGGCTCATTCCTTTTGCCATGAGAAGAGAGAGTGACCGCAGTCACACACCATGCTTGGCTGAAAACTGATCATGTCCAGACGTGGACAGCTTTTCCTTAGTCTTCCACAAAAAACAAACCTCAAGTGGCTCCATTGAGCCGGTCTCCTCGCTCATATTTATCATTATTACCCATGGCTAAGACATCTGAATACAACTGTGAGAAACTTGATGGTGATTGATTACTTTAATGGTGAACGTAAGCCTAGGCAGGGCACTTGGTTGGAAAGTAGGTTTCATCTAGAATAAGTTGTCTAAAATCTTAGGCAAAATGGAAATTTTGCCATTAATTTCAATATGAGAGAGAGATACTGTCCTCTTAATCTCTTCACTATTTTGATCACAAGAATCTGAAACAAAGGAGATATTGGGAGCATTGCAGATGTATTTTCATAGGAATCTTTCAGCACCATGAGGTTCACCACCAGTGTTGCTTCCTGGGAAAACTCCGTTTTGATGCAGAAGAACATTAGAACATCTGCTCAAAGCACTTTACCATATAACTGCTTGGAGAGCCCTAGGACATGGAGTTTCAACTCCTCTGACTGTGAATATGAGCAATGGTACCTCAGACGAGTATTTTCTGTTCATAATAATACAGTTAGTATTTTTTCATGTTTCATTCTGTCTTTATGTGTCTCTAAAACCTTTTCCACTCAGCAGTAGATTGCTGGTGTGAAAAGATCTGCCTGACTCTGCAGTGAGTGTACACTGTTCCTTAATATTACGTTCAGGTGTAAGAGCATTCAAACGAGGTATCGTCAGCATGAAAAGCATGAACTCCAGCTCAAAAATGCTATTAATGTTAGCTTGCATCCTGCTTACGGAAGCTAGACACTTGAGACAAAATTTCCTATTTTTCAACTCCTTATTCTTGCTCTCCCTTTTTCGTAGCCAACAGAAGCGATAACCCATGGGGTATGGGAACGTGTTAAAAACACTGAGAGGAAAACAAAATGCTGCTTCTCAGAAAAACACTGTACAGAAATTTAGGTGTAAGACTCTCACATGAGAATATTATTCTGCAACTGACACCATTTTTTTTTAAGGAATCTCAAGATTTTGCTGAAGCGTCTTCGATGTATAATGTTAAGCCTTCCCCTTCAGATTTTTTAGCAAACTCTTTAGCTTCTTTTACCTCAGGGAAGCATTTCACAGGATTGCACT